GATAAATGGGTGTGTGAGCACAGATGGCGTCAGATCAAGTGAGTCTCCAAAAAAAACAAAAAAAAAACATGCACACTTGAACCAAATACTCTTTTTCCATTGTCATTTGAAACTAAAACCATTGCGAATTATGTATTTAGTTTAAATTTTCACAACTCCTTTTAAGGAACATGGTCATTTTCCGTAATGTTGTCAATGGACAGCCTCATGCCAACTGGTGGGACAACCAGAGCAATCAGGTTGCTTTTGGCCGTGGTGATCGGGGTTTCATCATCTTCAACAATGATGACTGGTAAGAATCTTGTAAAGATATCAAATTGTGGGTTTCAATAAAAATTATTGAAAAAAAACATGTATATATTAGATGGAGGCCCAGATTAATTGACGTGCTCCATCATTACGATTCCACTGGATTTCTATTCTTGAATAGAAAATGCTTTTTTTTTTCCTGAAAAGTCTTTTGCATTATTTTTTGTGGCATATAAAATCCTCCATCCATCCCTCCATTATCTTTACCCACTTCTTCCTTTTTGGGTCATGGGGGTCAATGATGCCCATATCCAACAGTCAATGTGTGAGAGGCGGGATACACCATGGACAGGTCGCAAGTCCATCATAGGGACACATAGAGACAAATGAGACAAACAACCATTCAGTCTCTCACTCACACCGAGGGACAATTTAGAGTTACCAGTTAGCTTAACATGCATGTTTTTGGTCTGTGGGAGGAAACCTAAGTATCTGGAAAAAACTTGTGCGTGCACAAAGAGAACATGCAAACTCCACCCAGAAGGCCCCACAGTCGGGATTCGATCTGGCAACCTTCTTGCTGAAAGGCAACAACTCTTCCAACTGAACCACGATGCCGCAAACTAAAATCTTATTCCTAAAAATGTATAAAAGTGCAGGATTCTTTGTCCAATAGTCATGATAAGAAGGATACAGTTACTATGGTCTATTACAAATCATCTACTAACTCCTGCTACCAGTATCACACTGATGTAAAAGAATATTGCACCTCAATTTAATTTTGACTATGTGATAACATTGTTTGAACATAATATGCATTCCTTTTCTTTCAGGGATCTGGATGTAATTCTGAACACAGGCATGCCTGCTGGAACCTACTGTGATGTCATTTCAGGACAGAAGGAAGGAAGCAGGTGCACCGGGAAGCAGATACAAGTTGGAAGTGATGGCCGTGCCCACTTCAAGATTAGTAACAGGGATGAAGACCCTTTTATTGCTATTCATGCCGAATCAAAAATTTAAATTCCAATTTTGAAATAAAGCTTTAGAAAACTAATAATTGGTATGTTTTTGAGTGTTCCTTTGTATTAAGTTGAGTCTGTTTTTACATAAGATTGATAAAAACTAAGAGTTTAATAAAACGTGCAATACCACGGTTAGCACACTTGAGCCATTTCCCTTTCAAAAATTTAAGTTTATGTGACACTGAACAAAGAAGACCTTACCCTCCATTTTCAGTAATTTAATATTTGTTTAACCCAATAACATGTCATTAACATGTTCAATAATTTTACAGCTACAATTTACAATAACATAATTTTTTCCAAAAAAAAAAAATCAAAACAAACAACTATGATATAACACAAGTCCCAAAGTAAACTCTCCATCCATCCATTATCGTCCACGTCTTCTGAAGTCAGGTCGTGGCGGCAGCAGATTGAGCAGGGAGGCCCAGACATCACTTTCCACAGCCACCTCTTCCAGCTCTTCTGGGAGGATCTCAAGGTGTTTCCAGGCCAACCAAGAGTCATAGTCTCTCCAGCATGTCCTCAGTTTCCCCTGGGGTCTCCTTCCAGTCAGAGCTTGATGTCCCTTGCCCAGACGTGTGATATCAGGGCCCCACCCTGAAGCCAAGTCTGAGGAGGTGCTTGACTGCAAGCACCATGTGATCGGGTCTCTACCCATGGGCTCTGGTCGGGCTCAGCTTGAATGAGCAACATGGGTTTGCACAGTGGTGTAGTCTACATTTTTGTAGTGGGTATAATGTGCTTAGAAACCAATGCACCCCAGTTAGTACAATGTAAATGTCAATTTATTTCGATTTTTAAGCGTATTGAAAATTTCCAAATTTCTCTGATGCTTATATTTGAATAAATGAACAACACATTTTGAACAACAGTTCACTTTGTAATAAAAAACATGTTATAGAATTTATAAAACATTATCAAAAGCAAAGCATGTCCAAGTATTAAGTAGTAAGTAAAGAATAATACAATAATTTGCTGGATAAGCAAATGTAATAAACAAGTGCTGCATACACATATATTGTTATGGATGCATTTAACTGCTGTTTAACATATCAATGACACATGCCAAATGATATGTCACATACTGTATCATTTGGCACTTTTAAGTGGGTAAACTGAAATTGTTGAGCTTTTCTAGTGGGTATACTCCGTATACCTATGTATCGCACAGACTGCACCATTGCGTTGGCCTTCCTGTGGGCCCACCACCTGCAGGAGGGGCCATACAAACTGAGTGCATGATGTCAAAGGCAATGACCAAAGGTAGGGTCCTTGATGCTCTGTCCATTGTCACTGACACACACATATACAGACAATAAACTAAAATAAAAAAAACAACTTTTATTCTTTAGTTGAAGGCATTTCGGGAGGGTTTCTCAGTTAAAATATAGTAAAAATATAGTGTGAAAATACAAACTTTTTAAATGTAGCTCAAGTAATGGACTTAGATTCACGTTCAGATGAAATTACATGTCTCTCACAATGGAAAGAGGTTAAGGTCTTTGTCTGCCTTGCTCAAAGTAAAGATGTAAACAGACCAGTAACTGATTTATTCGTGTTTTTGAAGTTTCTGTTGAACACTTGGTTTTCATTTCCTCTTAACCCTCCTACTTACCTTTAGGTTAAAATGACCCACGAGGCTTCTACTGAGACCTCATGGGTCATTTGACCCAAAGACAGCAGTAGGATTAAACATACAGTAGCTAACAAGCCAATTCAAAAATATTAATTATTTTTATGCAATACTCATTCTTTTAAGTTTAAATGCTTAAAATCACTTTTTCCCTCCAAGTGCTGCTTTGTGACACATTTTCTAGAAAACAGTTTTCCTATGAAAATGGCATATCAACATGTACTACATTTTAATGCTGTTTATAGATGTGAGCAAGCATATCAATGCCCAACTAAAACTTTTCTAACTACAAGAATTTGAATCTAATTTCATAATTTTCACATTTTGTTTATTACCATTATTTAATGAAATAAATTTAAATAAAAAAACTAATCTTTGAATTATTTTGTATAGGCATAAATAGAAATCTGGGCACATTACAAATTCCAAAACAATCTAATACAATCTGAGAGCACAACTATAGACTGAGACATGGTTCAGCATTTTGCATTTAATGTGAAACTTATGGAAACAACGAAATAAGAAACTAGTTGTATGTTTCTGAAAATAGGTCTTAGGTGAGCTGGCTCATTTCTGAGCCACATCATTGGGAAGACAAGGCCTCCTTGTGGCATAAATTTGTATCAAACCTAATTTCATATGAACAATTTTGTAATTTTATCTTTATAAGAGTAGTTTTAACTACAAAACAAACACAGAGAAGCTTGATATAAATTATAAAATTACTGCACAAATGAGATAGTAGCTGTTTTTGGAATAACAACAAAATAAAGCTAAATGTTTGATTGTCTTGATGACTGTTGTTTGATAATAGAGGCTAAAGCTTTATGACTTTTATGGATTTTTTTTTTGTTATTGTTCTTTGTATTATTTTTTCAAGGGTCACTGAACGTACTGAATGAGAAATGAGATGCCTGCAGATGTCCTTCCTGCATTGTGTATTCCTCTCCACTGGGACGACTCCTTGCCATCCTGTAGCAGCCACATCAGTTTCACCTGAGTGCCGTGCTGGCACTCCTCATCCCTCCATCCTCATACTTCCTCCGTCTTTCTCTGCCTGTCTTCCTGTCCCGTCAGCCTAGCTTTCTCTCCACCTTTCCGGCCCAACTGCTGAGTTCCTGTCAGCAGATCTGGACCAGTGACACTGGAGTGCCAGCCACCAGAGGTGAGACTACAAAGGTGATACCTGCCAGAACGTTCAGCTCATCCCAGTTGTCATGGCAACGTGGCACATGAGCTAAGAAAAATGAGGAAATCTTGACAGCCTAATATAAAGCGAAAGGACCGGGGAAACAAGGGGGTTGGGGGGAGAGTTTAATTCATGCTGTGTGTGCTGACAGAATTAGTAGTTGTCAATATTTTCCCTCACAATATGGTGACGCTACTTTTGCTATTATATACAATATAAAACAAAGCAATGACAAAACCTGATTTATAAATAATTATTTGCATTCAGAACTGTCAGATAATTTGTAAAGTAATAAAAGAGGGTGAGTATTTACTCTCAGCATTGTGTGAAAGACAGTTAAAGAGTCAACGATGGAAGGACAGGCCTAAACATCGTGCAGCTGCTGAATTATTGACCTCCTCTCCATCTTTTGGTCCGGCAGCTGTGTGGACCTGTACCCTCAGATTAGCTACAGAGATGTCAGCAGAGCAGACTGGGCTCTTTGGTCCTGTCATCCTCACTGATGCTTTGTGACATGGCTGTCAACGATGTCCCCATCCTGTTTTATATTTCATATGGTGCACCGGACCTGCCTGTCACATCATCCAAGGAAGGAGACAGTCATCAACCTAAAGATGAAGCAATAAAGTCTCTGGGTCGACCGTACTCAGCTTTTTCTTCAAGGGGGAAGAAGAATCTGAGAAAGGTCTGAATTAACAAACATTACGGTTTAAACAGTAAATTTAATTAAATATATATACTTGGTAGGATTTAAACATAAATTGCTACATTTTTGAGGGGACTCTCCACAAAATCTGAATAATTTTAAATTCCTTGTGGTATGCACATGGAGTCATGGATGATCAGTCATATTAGAATCTCTTTTAGTAGTTTGCTTTCTGATTAAGCTCTGGTTCCTATCACTTGGGGGCAGTGTTGAAGCAAAAACTATAAGGCCATTATATTTTCCTAAAACAAGATTAAAAAGCTGTCTACCTGTCTTAATAAAGTCCAAAGTCCATTCACAATTGATCTTCAGAATATTATCCAGGGTCCTAGGGCTTAAATTTGAACATACATATTGTCATTGATAGAAAAACGTTAACAACACAGAACACATCAGGCATTCATTCAACCTTTATTTATTATCCACTTTATATATACAGTATATAGAGTATGTATACTTCCTGTAGTTTGTCTTAAACACAAAGGTGTGTCTAACATGAAAAGCAAGAACTATATATTGTAATAAAAACATTCACCCCCAAAAATAAATACATTTGTAGATTGTTTAAAAATTCAACTTACAATCTTGACTGCAATACTTGTTAAACACTTTTTAAAAATGTTTTCTTTAGTTGTAACATTTTTACTTTTCTCAATATTAAAATTTGTTATATTAAGTCAACCCAAAGTAAAAATGTATGCAGCTCTCGATATCACCATGCAACTTTAAAAAAAGTAGACAAAAATGTGTATAAAATATATTTTCTAAATGCAACAAGCATGCTAAGGAATTCTTATTTTATCAAGACTCATGCTCAATAATCCAATATTATAGATTACACTGTCTTCTTCTTCAGGGGTCTCCACAGCGAGTTCTCCTCCTCCATCTCACTCTGTCCTCTGCATCGTCTGTCCTCACTCCAACTTCCTCCATGTCCTCCCTGATATCTTCTCTTTGGCCTTACTTTCCTCTTCTCCCTCAGTCTCCTGACACATTTCCCTCCTCGTAGTCTTCAACTAACAGCAGCACAATTTCCGCCGGCACCCTGTTTGTCAATAGCACCGGTGGAGTCATTGTTTACCCGGGCCTTGACCGGCCCGGTATGGCTTCGCTTTGATGAACTCGCATTTGGTTTTGTACAAAAGTGTTTTACATCAAATGCCCTTCCTGACACAACCCTCACCATTTACCCGAGCTTGGGACCAGCACAAGAAATATGCTCCCTAGTGGCTGGTTTAGATTACACTGTATATTATATTTATTCTTATTACATTATATAATAGAGGGCGGCCCCCAGAAACCATCTTATCACCAGCAAACTTGTTGGTCTGCTATGG